TCAATATGAGGTCTATCTCATATACGTGCTAATGGAGGGTCTCACAAAAATTAATATCTCTTAAAAATTAAAAATCTTTTTACAAAGACGTTCTCTGCAGAGAATTTTTTAAATATTATTCCGGGTTTTTTAGTGTAGATAACAAGCATTGTTCTAACTTTTATTCACCTCTGTTTCTTTGGTCTTACAGTGCTATGAACTGGTACTTTAACTATTGTTTATTTTAATGACATATTTGAGCTATATTGAACATTCAATGAATGCTCTAGTGAAGTGTAAAATTTAAATTGACTATCATAATTTATTTGTTATAGAACATTTTTAATATACATATAATATACATAATTACTTAACACGATTTTGAGATGTATTTTTTCTTTTCATTTTTTGATTTATTTTAGATCTGATGAACGTGGTCTTTCCCGTAAACATATAATTGAATGCGTAAAGGCTAGTCTACAGCGCTTACAACTGCAATACATCGATATTGTTATTATACATAAAGCCGATGCCATGTGCCCCATGGAAGGTAATTCAAAATAAGAAAATAAAATTTTATATATCAAATAAATTTTTTTAATATGAAAAATATTTTTTTTTTTCGTAAAACTTTTTGTTTGTATTTTAATCAGAAGTTGTACGTGCCATGAACTACGTTATACAACAAGGTTGGGCTATGTACTGGGGTACGGCACGTTGGTCACAAGTTGAAATTATGGAAGCGTATACCAACTGCCGTCAGTTCAATTGCATTACGCCAATTGTCGAACAATCTGAATATCATATGTTCTGTCGTGAGAAATGTGAACTTTATTTACCAGAAATGTATAATAAAATTGGTGTGGGTCTAATGGCTTGGGGACCACTATCAATGGCTTTAAGTGATACACAAAATGGTGAGAAAATATTTTTACCAAAAGGTTCATTTAAAACAAAAAGTCAAAGCTATTCTTGGACTGAAGATGAAGTTAATCGTAATGTGAGTTTATTTCATCAATTCATTATTTTAAAAATATTTATTTACGTATCTTTTACATATAACTTAGGCCGCATTATCACCTCAAGGTAGTTGGGGCAAGGATCGCATCGAGGAAGGTCGTAGACATTGTGATCGATTAAGAGATCTTGCTGCTTTAGCAGAGAAATTAGGCTGTAGCCCTGCGCAGCTCTCTATTGCTTGGTCACTTAAACATGAACCAGTGCAATGCTTACTTTTGGGTGCTACATCAGCAGAGCAATTGCATCAGAGTTTGCAGTCTCTGCAGGTAATATTCCCTTTATAATAACAAATTTATAAGCATAAGTAAGTTTTAAATTCAGTACGTTTCGGGACTTTAACATGGCTAAATTTTGGTGTACTTTAGAGGCTGATAAACTGATTGACTAATATTTTTTCAGAGATACTACTAATCGGATCATTATTAGCTATTAGACACCTATTAGATAGATCATTACTATTATTAGATAACAGCTATTAGATATTAGCTATTAGATCACTCATATTCTATAATTAAAAATTTTTTTATTCTCGAATTAAATACTGCTTATGTGCAACGTTTAAAAATAAAATATTTGAAGAGATCATTATATAATTATATATAACATTATATATTTGAAGAGATCCATATAATGGTCCTGTGAATGAACCTTTACAACCATGTGATCTCAACCCTCAAAGTCGGAGGGTTGAGATCGCATTGTCTCTGAGGATATACAAGTCGTTGGTTAAAACAGAGTCTTTGAACTACTTAGAAGCCAACATTTATAAATTATATAGTCGTTGCCTTTATACGGTCTCAACTGCTCGAAGTGTTGAAGGTATGCACTTCCAGTTGCTTTTCATTGACAACATTGAATCATTATCACAATATTAAAATAAAATATTGAAAGAGGTCATTATTACAGGTACGTTCACAATTATGTAATCTCAACCCTCTGACTTTGTTTTCTATAGGGATATATTAAGTCGCTACGGCTCTTCTCTAAATCATATTCAAATATTAACGTCATCTCTTCGAAAATGTCATTTTTCTTGAGAACGTTTAAGAAAGTTTCTTCAAAAAATAAATTGGTATCATTTTGCAAGCAAATTTTAGACCAAATAAATAAACATTCTCCGAATTATAAAATTTCATATTCTGCATAGATTAAAATCATAATTTTTAACAATATGTGTAATGAAAATGGCTACTTGTAATAATTTTTATTAACTTTAATTTTTAGCTACTGCCACGCCTTTCGACAAGCGTTATGTTGGAACTTGAACGCATACTCGAAAATAACCCGGTACGACCGCCAATGATATCGACGTTGGCCCTTCGGTGACAATCAGCGTTCCCCCAGGGCCCACCGAGCCTTAGTGGTGGCGGTCCCTGCGGGGCGGAATCACCAAAAAATGAAGAGGAGGCCTTCTGTGAAGATACCGATGCAAAGGATGCTTCAAAGCAAGGTTTCTGTGTTATTCAGTGACGAAAGGAGTCCTTAGATAACGATAATAAATTTTTGAAACCGATTAGTAGTAAAACTAGTTTAAGTAGTACGACTATGACAACAACAATAAGTAAACATGATCTACAATTACAACAACAACAACAGCAACAAACAAACCAGCAGCAACAACAACAACGTTCTTCATTATTATATAAAAATTTTACTAATACAAGTTATACAATTAATAATATTAATAAAACAACATTAGCCACACCAACAACTTCAGCGACAACATATATAACAAGCGGTACCGATAATGCTACTTTCATACAAATAGATTCGTTAAATAATAATACAAATTCACTTGTTTCGACTACGTTAGCAGCAAATGAATCCACTACCATTGCAATTAATAATAATAATGGCACTATCGATACCACAACAATCGATACATCAATCGATATCTCCAGCACTGCTCAAACGAAAACACAAAAGCGTTGTTCATTACTTAATTTTAAATCTTTCGACTTTAATATTAAATCTTTATATTCGGGATTACGTAGTAGCAATAAAACCTCACAAACGCAATCAACAACAACAATAGCGGGTAATGCAAATGGCAGTAGCGGTCTGATAACAGATACACCGACCGGTCAACGTACACCAGCCGTTAATAATCGTATGCCGCCATATTTAAAAATCGAAGCTGTCGACACTGAAGAATCGGAGAATTTACTTTTAGATTATCCACAATCGCCCTACTCATCAAGACGCAATAGCTCACAAGAGAATCGCTCTAGTACACAGCTGTTGCATATAAGTCATCGTATGGAAGATATGTCACGTTCACAGGCTAGTTCGCCTTCACCATATTTTCTTTCTCCATATGTTTATGATATGGCAACTGGTGGTAATATAAGACGTTCCTCTACTTCAGACATACAGTGTAAACGCAGCGGTTCTTCAAGTGGCAGTGATAGTCGACGTCCG